AGCCAAAACGGCTATCATATTCGGAATCAGCATGATCGATTACCTATAAGCTACTGCATTTCGTTAGAAAAGCGATTTGACAGTTGGATATGTTCCCTCGTCAGTATTGTCCCATACGGTATATTTCTCGTTGTCTGGAATACTGTGTTTTCTATGGGAGGAGGGGTATGAAGTTGTGCCATATGGTAATCAGTGGCGGATCCAGAATTATTTTTTGGTATGTGCGGTATACGATAAAAATGCGAGATATGTGCGGTCATCATAGAAACAAATTATTCTAAGAGAGATCTGCTGGGAAAAAACAGTTTTTTTGCTTAAAAGGTACGAGCGGCCGCCCGTACCGCGGGCTGGATCCGCCACTGATGGTTATTTATTGGATAAATCGTATATTAATGCCTACCTTTTTGTGCGAAATCCTTATTGAGTTGGCCGAAAAAAGACGTTGCTTTTGTGTAAGCATATAATAAATAACGAGGATCTTCTTCGTCGATTGCCGCCTGCAATGTGTCATTTATCTGATGGTTTGCCTGGCCTAATTTGGCCATTTTTTCAACATATTCATTTTTGATTCGAATCAACAAGTGCTCCAGTGGAATTTTAATCAACCATCGGCGCATGTGTTCATGATTTTCCTGCGAAATTCGATGAGCATTCGCATACTCATCCAGCCATTGGACTTGATTGCAGGTATCAGTAGTAGTACTATCTGCTGCTGCTGGCTTCACCGGCGAGAAGAGTGCCTGTTCTCCGCCGTGATGATCGGAAAAACGAGTGCGACCCGTTCCAACAAAATTGGAACCAAATAGTCGGCGAATATTACCACTTTGAGCCTCGTCGGCAGGCGTCAAATCGAACGGGCGATTGCGAATAGTCCAGAGTTGACGTGACCCATCATCTCGTTCCAAAATACGTTGCACAATGTCAATATGACCATAGAAAGCGGCCGCGTGCAATCCAGTACTGCCATTCGACTCGAGTCGAAGGAGATCTGAGTACTGAATGGTGGAGAGTAGGACTTCCACCGTCGTCAAGTCGCCATTCCGACAAGCTAAGTAAAATTCACTTGGTCTCGCTTCCTCGTCATTCATTTCTCGTACAGCACAGACTCAGAACGAAATAATGTTTCTTCTGTAATGTGGTGCGCCTGAAACAGTGAAACATTTTCTTATTCATTGTCATTTGATATAAGCTATTTATTTGAAAAAGCAAGAAATCAGCAAATTTTTATACTATCTCTACCCACCGAAAGAGAGACAAGCTCTATTATTATCGGCGATAGAGAAAAACAAGAGCTACGCATATTGTGATAACAATTCAAAGATCTGGTAAAAGAAGAAAGAAGAAAGAGAGAAAAAGAATGTACATACACGTTTTGTAGTATATATATGTTCCCGCATGGTTGTATAATGATACAAGGAGAGAGAAAAAGACAAAAAAAAACAAAAAAAGAACAATAATAAAAAACGAAAAAGTGGAAGTAATAATCAAGGTCTGTTTCGAGACCAGAAAGCGAGCAAGAGCGAAAAGAACAAGGAAAAGAGAAAGATAAAGATAATATTGTTCTTCCGAAAAACGTTTTGAAGTACAAATATACTCTATATACTATACTATAACTACATGATATATACATAAAAAATCAGTCTCTACCTCTCCACATTTGCATGAACTTGTCAAAGCCAATGATTTTTTGCATTAATCTGAATGGTGGAGAGTAGGACTTCCACCGTCGTCAAGTCGCCATTCCGACAAGCTGAGTAAAATTCACTTGGTCTCGCTTCCTCGTCATTCATTTCTCGCACAGCACAGACTCAGAACGAAATAATGTTTCTTCTGTAATGTGGTGCGCCTGAAACAGTGAAACAGTTTCCTATTCATTGTCATTCATTTGCTCCTAATCGCGCTACGGTGATGAAATCCGTAACTGACTCCATACCACGAAAAATTAGAATTGATGTTAAAAATGTGCTATTACAAGATAGGTTTGAATATAATAAGTACTTTACAATCTAT